CACAGATCAGAGTCATCAAAGATCCTAGTTCGGTGCACGCAATCCTAATGGTGCCCTTCCCTCTCTTCGTCGGCACTGAGCTTCGGCACCACTTCTGCTCCATCCACCTTTCTGCGAGCCACCTCGGTGCTTGACGCAATCGAATCTCATCACCGGCAAGTAAACGAGCAATTACTTCACAAGGTCAAATATGGTAAAGAGATTTGATGGTTTCTGTATATATATATATATATATGTGTGTGTGTGTTTGACGTGTGTTTAAATACCATTGGCCATCTCAATATCAATTCAGTGCGATATCGAGGGTAGGGGAAAAGAGAGAACCTCCTGAGCATTCCATGTTTCATCGGCATTCATCCAGGGTCCATGCAGTCCAGGTCTGCAGAGGTCTGCTGAGGATCCAAACCAAAACACGGCCCTTACAGCCTTCGTCGGAAGCACAAGGCCGGTTCAGAAGTTGTGCATTACAGTAATTACCAAGTGCACACGGACACAGTAGAATCAATTAAATTAATCGTCTCAACCCAACAAAAAGATAGGAAACCTAAATTCCCGCTAAGACAGCGATGATTTACTTTTCAATCTTTTTGGGTGTTGCCCTAAAATTCTGTAAGCACCAAGCGGGCCCACATATCCAAAATCTGGGATTGGTCATTATAGTAGGTGGGTATCAGCTACATTCATCAACAGCTGCGGCCTCCGCTGTAGATCTCTTCCTCAAAGTTATACGTGTCGTTGATCGATTCGCCTTAGGGACAGCCAGAATAATGAAGAACTGCCAGAGGTTGTGTAGCGTCATTACCATCTCTCGGATCCCACTATGCCCACTGCACCATGCCTGGCATTCTTAATAATGTGTGAGCTTGCGTGACTATTTCAGAACCAGCAATTACATGCAATCACCATAATTAGTTCAACTATGTTCAACTACTATTGAACCGTTGAAATCATAGCACGGCAAAACTTTTTCGCCGTCTGAACATGTGAAAAATATCACTCGCATCACCTATGAGATTGCCCCAATTTACTTGCATCACCCTGCCACTGCAAATCCTATGGGATTGCCCCAATTCAGCCACGCAAGTATATTTTTTATTTAATTGTTGCTTTATTTTATGTTTTGTTTGTTTAATATAAGCAATTCAGAGAGTTGTGCAAACGCGTCTGTTTGTGACCTTCCGGGCGAGGATTTCCCATCAGAAACCAGGAAATTGGCCGGTATTCCCAACCACTCGCAGAGGTTGATTACCAACTGCAAGCCTCCAATGACCATTGACTGGAGTTGCTGTGCACTTAACTCTGCGCCCTGGAGCACCAACATGCTCTGTGGGAAAAGCAGTGCCATCCTCACAGAACTGCAACCCACAGCATGAAGTGATTTGTCAACTGGGCGGTCTTTTCAAAGACCTACTGCTACTGAAGCACCAGGATCATCAAGTGTCACTGAACGAGCAATGTCATCATGTAAATGATGTAGTCCCAAAGCAGTCCCAGGTGCCGCTTCAGCTTTCAAAGGATGGGAAGGATGGGGCCCCTCGGTCTCCTCCTCCATCTCCTCCATCTCCTCGATGGCCGATAAGAATCTCGTTCTCCCCGTCTCTGCGAAAGATAACAAGTCGTCTGGTTCTTCGTCCAAGTCTGAAGTCCATGACACGTCCATTTTGGACCTCCTGCATGGCTTCTTTGCCTTGATCGTTCCGATGCTCGCCCCGGTTCCCATGGCCGGCGTGGATGCTCGGGTCTCAAAATGTTCCCTGAGTAAAAGGACCTTGCAAGACACCATGCCAAAAAAAGAAAAAACATAACTGTTGTTGTGTTGCATGCTGTGCAGCGCCGTGCACTTCCGGGCAGTGCTGTGCTATCTGGTTGAAGTTCGGTTGAAGCATCACAGGGGGCGAAAGATCAAAGGCCCACAATCTAAGTACCAACCTTGTGGCGATTACTGTAATTGCTGTGTGTGTGTGTGCGCGCTCTCGGCTGATGATCAAGGATACTTGGCCAAAAACGTGTTTGGAGTGAACGCACATAGTGCGTGAGGGTGTGCTGACAGTCAAACAAAACCACAACTCATATTCCTGGGCATGTGTACATGCATTATTGTCTCATACTGGTCTTGTACCTGAGTCCAATATTGTTCAAATGCTAGCTAGCACTGCGCAGATTTGACTTGAAATCACAACCTCTCAGCTTGCACTTCTCGAGGCATACTTTTTCAGACCCGCTGAGGCCGTCACCGGCCTTAAGCGTGCGAAAGATCTTATCAATCTGGCAGGACAGGGATGGACTCAACTCATCTTTCGGCAGAGGCTCAAGGCAGGCATTGACCACAGTATGAGAGATGAAGAGAACTGGATGATTGAAACATCATGAAACATCATCAAACGATCCAAAATTGGAAATGCAAGGTCCTCACATGAGACATGATCCCAGTCATGGGCCTAGAAAATTAGTAGATGGCAATGGCTGAACATATGTTGAAGTATGCCCCTCCAGTCCTGCTCCGATCATCATCGGTTTTGCTGCTTTCATCGCGTTTCTCTTTGATTATATGTTTATTTGGGGGTTCCTAAAATGTGGATACCCCCAAATCATCTATTTTAATGGGATTTTCCATTATAAACCACCCAGCTATTGGGGTAACCCCCTTTTTAGAAACCCTCATTTATGTTCATCAATATATCTCAAAATGGGACATCCCAAAACTTGGCCAAATGCCCGAAGGTCATCCCCATGACCCTCCATCAATAATCGACGCCTCCTGAAAATACGTCCTTGTTGTTTTCCATAGATATATTTCTTGGTGAATATCAAAAAGGCCGAATTAGCCATCGCCAGGTTATCCAACAAAAGTATATACTAGATATATGTCCATTCTCGTTAGTTGAACCCGGTGAACCCGCTGCTGATGAATTATCTTCACCGTTGGTGAAGCCATCTGAAATATCATTTGTTGATGAAATCCACATGTTTGCCGGTTCAATCTCTCCGTCTTAGCTTCGATGGAATGATATAAGAGACAATCTACACAAAATATGTTGTTCACCATTATTTTATATATATATATATACACATAAGTGTTCACTTTTCCTAATTTTCCTGTACAGTAGGTTTTTCCTTGCAACATCAACATCTTCAACAATTCTGGGATTGGTAAAATGTCACCACTGTCAGTGTGAGAAAGCTCCATGGCCCAGCATGGCCACCTTCTTAGTCAGCGGTTCGGGTGGCTTCACCGCAGGCGTTTTGATGGGACCTCGGAGCCGAGGATCTCCGGAACGAAGCCAACATTCTCGGAGCATGAGAAAACCTTTAAAAAAATGGTGGAAAACGATGGCTTCCCTGGGAAAATGATCTACAAATGCTGGGTTTTCCACATCTATGTTGGCTTACACGAGAGATCACAAGAGTATGTTGCGGTTCCTTAAGCTAGTTGTGATGTAAGGAATCAGAGACCGACGATGAAATATCATCATTGGATATCATGGTGAATCATGGTGCACCTAAAGCCAGGTGCACCCCAGTCACTTGTCACAAATGGGAGTAGAATTCAAACCATTAGATTAGATCATCATTAATATAGAATATTAAATATTGAATATTGGCAAACATGATGCACAAACTTGGCAGCGTGGTTGCAATGTGTGTCCTTACCCTGTTTTTGCGCCGCTGCGCTGGGTTTGATATCCATTCTGTATACCGTAGTAATTATATACCCCCCATGGCCCCATGTTTGTGGCTCAAACACATATCACATATTCATATTAATTACTGTATAGATATTAGACATTATTTCACCACAGTTTATGCTCTGGTAAACTCACAGTTTGCTAAAATCACAATCTTAGGCAAATCAACGAACTAAATGGGTCATATTTTCATCATGTTCATCATTTTCATCATTTTCAATACCCTCTGGTTATTTCACATAGCCATGGAAAATAGCCCATGTATAGATGGTTCACCTATTAAAAATGATGATTTTCCATGGCAAACTGTTAGTCATAACCAGATGGTAATAGAAACCGTGAAATGACCAGAAAATATGGCCATTTACGATGCATCATTCCGACCTGGCCATTTTCATGGCCGCTGCATCGCCAGGTGTCCCTGCGGAGCCTTTCCCGCATGGCACTCATCTTGTTGCCCACCGGGGCGGCTTCCTGCGGAGTTTAACCGGGTTCTCCATGTCCATTGAAAACTCCTTAAATCTCACATGTTTAAAGTTTAAAGTCGACTTCAATAAAACCTAAGCCAAGAAAGGCACTTGCACTAGCATTGGAAACTGGAAATTTTAACATCTGAGCCATTCTGAAAACCTTCAGTCACTCCCTATGTCGTATCATTTTGGGTACGCCAAAGCTTACGCCATGCTTACGCGCGTAAAGTTTTTCCTTACGCGAAGCAAATTGAGGAAACCCTTACGCGAAGTTCTTACGAGGCCTTACGCAAGTGAGGGTTTTGCTTATGCCAAACAGGTTATGACAAGGCCCTTACTGAAAATGTAAAGGGATGTTTTTAGAGCAGCTCATCTGTCATTAGGGGTGATGAAACTACCAACCCTTTCATTGTGAGGATTTTGTCTATCATAATTGCATTTTTCCATGACAAATCGAGATGATGGGAAAATACAGTTTTTAATCCAGGGTGATGAGATGCCTTGTGCGACCCCAACCCTTGCGGGTCTGATACCCAACCACTATCTAGCGGTGAAAAATTGAATATATAGAATGAATGCAAAAAATGAAGAATTTCCAACGTTTGACCGTGCAGGAAGGGATCAGCCCGAACTGTTTTTGGGTCAATTGGCCAGGTGCGCGTACTGGTGGTTTGGGTTCGGTTAGTTTTGTAAACCCCCATTGAAAGTACTAGTGAATCAGGATCATTCCAATATCAATCATTCTTCCAAGTTTTCCATATAGATATATGGTTACCCATATAGCAAACCACTAGCAACCAACTGCTCCATGATTTTCTGCACCTTCCATTGCCGAAGTGGGCGCTCCTGCTTTGCCTCTGGTGGCTTCTCCAACTCTGAAGGCTCATCAGGCCTTGAGCATGGTTTGTTGTTATAACCCTACATTAAAAACGATGATACCCTCTGGTAAACTAACATAGCTATGGAAAATGGCCATAGAAATAGTGGATTTACCCATTGAAAATGGTGGTTTTCCATAGCTATGTTAGTTTACCAGAGGGTAACTGATAGATACTGATAGACCAATACTGACCATAGGACTTCGGGAAGTGCTGGGGATTCCAATTCTTCAGCGACTTGTGGTCCTTTTCGAGGTGGTTCATGGTAGCACCACTAGAGGTTCCCCCAATTTATATACAGTATAGAGAAAATACTACATCAGAGCTTTAATGAAGTGGGTCCATAATATTGCCCTCCGGTAACTAATAGCATATATTACATATATAACAAACGGAAAACTACCATGTGTATCCATGTGTAGATCATTCAGAACGGGAAACCATAGATCTTCCGTATCGTTTTCTGAAGTGACCAGAGGGTGAAGCTTCCCAATATCCTCCATATCAATCCATATTATCTCCATAGTATCCCAAGATAATATGGTAATATGTAGGTCATCATGTCATATCATGCAGGGTGGTGCCCCCACCAGTGATGTTTGTTGGTTTATGATCCCCATGAACTCTCCAGGAACATCCATGAACTATAGATGTAACCTCCTAATCAACCCAAAGGTAAAATTGGAGTTGCACCAACTTAGCTAACGATTTGGGGGCACCTGTCATGAGGGGGAAGGGACATCCTTCCTGGACATCCAGGGACACACTTCTGCATGTCGCCCCCTCTGGGTCCCCACAAGCGTTGCATGGCATTCGTTGGGGTGGTTGGAGCTGGCAGAAATTCGGGCCATCAAGAGGGATGTTTCCTCTGATATAATGGGAATTGAAACAATATATACAGGCCACAAAGGGGGGGTAATGGAAATATACCATTCATTAGTCATTTTATGGTGATATATATATATAATATGATTAATAATAATATGTATAATGTATATATTGGGATTTCTAAACAAGTTCACGAGTTGTGGGATGAAATGGGACGAATTATGGCTACTATAGTGGATAAAATGATGATACACATTGACAAACCTTCAGCTTGTCAAATGCCCCATGTTATTTTGTCCCGTCAAACCCAAGATGGTGATATGGCAAACCAAAGCTCCCATTGAGGATGGTTTACCCGGCATTTCCCACAAGATTCGGTGTGGAGTTGCCACATGATGCGTGAAATTGTGAGGCGAGTTGTGAGCTGCCAAATGCTCTCATCATCTATACATATCTATACAGTATACAGTATTTACATGTATTTACTAAGTGCAGCAAGTCAAAAAAATTGTTGAGTTGTGGATTTACATGAATGACTGGATGACTGACGGGAAAACCTGCAGCCGTGCAGCCCGCGGAAGTTGATCCAAAAAAGAGATCGAGGAAGTGGGCAATCATCGGAAAATTAGGCAATGCAATGATAGTGAAAACTAGCCTCTGGTAAACCAACATAGCTATTGAAAATGATCATTTATAGTTGATTTACCCATTAAAAATGGTGATTTTCCAGAGTTATGTTAGTTTACCAGAGGGTAGCCATGAAAATCATCAGCTGCACAATCAATGACCAAAGAGGTATCAGACCCTGGACAGTTGAAAACATGCGTGGTGTGACCAGTCTTCTTCTGGTTGCGCACCGGCGAGTTCTTAGCGGCAACACCGAGCTACCACAGCACAAGCAAACGGTTTTGTACAACACAGAGTGTCAAGGCCAACTTTGCTTATTGCATCTTTGTCTATTGTATATGTATGCGATTGTGTGTGTGTGTGCAATTTTAACATCGATTTCATCCTAGTATGTAAGAAAGTTCCCTGCATCAAAGGGCCCACAGCTAAACAAGAGTTCACTCAAAAGGATCGGATTATAGCATATATATATATGCATATTCATATAAAATCATATGTATATAATATCATATAGTTATATGTATAAACAGCGCCATCCCCAAGCTAAGCCCCTTCTGTCGAGGAACTGCTGAGTATCCTGGGACCACACGAAGGGAGCCGCGAAGGGTGAAGGGAGCCCTAAAATCCCAGGCTTTTCTGATCCTGTTCCAATCGTTTTGCCCCATGAAAATTGCCATAAAATTAAACTCACCTTGGGATCCTTTGAACAAACCATAGCAAATCCATATCTCCAAATGGTGTTTGCGTGTTGCCCATGCCGTTGTCCTGCTGCCATTGGCACGTGAGTACTGACTGACTCAATCGGCAGCCTGGCTTTGAAAAACATTGGGTGAAGCCACTGGGGGCACCAATGGGTGCAGCACCACCAAGTGTGCCTCCCCTGGAAGGCAATATGATAAATCATGATAAATCCTGATAAATCATGATAAATCATGATAAATCATGATAAATCATGATAAATCATGATAAACCACAGTATTTATAAGATTTTATAATATGCATCATCATTCCCACAAGTGTTTCTAGATGTTTCTACCACTTTCTATCCATCCCAAGTCCCAAGTCCCAAGACACCAAATCCGATTATCACATGTTTCCGAAGAATCCTCCGCGTGTCGGCCGGGATATTCCAGGTTCAACCCTAAACTCTTGGCCAATGTCCAAGAACAGAGGTAGGGCCTTTGCCCATCCAAGCTCTGATGGTGGGCGTCTGTTATTTCTTAATTACTTAGATACAACTAGATTAATTAGATACTCATAGAATGCCATTCATCTATCCATCTCGGTCAAGATGGGAAATCAGAAATCTATCAGAAATCTCAACACGTGCCAGCTACACGTCAGCAGTCCACCCTGCTTGCGATTGGATCCCGAAGACCCGGGGCGAGACCTCAATACTTCAGGTGCCAACGACTTTCCAAATGAGAAATCTCTCATCTCTACTGGGGTGAATCTGAGTATTCATGTGGTTTTGCAACAAAAAGAGTGCACATCTACATAAGAATAACATAAATGTGCGCATATGATATACAAATTCTTGACCTATGACCGTTCAGCAATATTCAAATACATATTTCATATACATTAAATACATTGGAAATACATATTATAGTATATTAAACATAATACCCTCTGGTAATTTCACATAGCTATAGAAAATCACCATTTTTCAGTTCGCTAAACCATCTATTTCTACGGGCCATCTAAACCATAGCTATGTTAGTTTACCACAGGATAAATCCCATTAAAACCACCATTTTGTTGGTTAAACCCCATTAAACCACCATTAAACCATTCTGAAATGTGGGCAGATCCCCTCCAGCTCTTCCCTTCCCGGGACTCCCGGGCGACTCCACAGAACTGGTTGGAGACGGTGTGGCCGTCCTCTCTGAGATGCCTGGTGCCTGACCGCCACTGCTGGGATATATGATATATGGTACGCATATCGAATAGATATTATATATATATACATATAGAGGAATAGTATGAGGTACATGGGATAAATATGTAAATATATATATATATATTATGCATATTGGAATAGTATAAGGACATATCATATATAACATATATGTATATGAGATATTTGTGGTATAATTTAACGGGAAATAAATTTATGGGAAATTATATAACATGTGATATAAATGAATATATGTAATATGGATATATTCGGATATAATATTACAGGATATAGTGTGTAATACACTATATAGATTTTGAAATGAATATGGACTGATATGATACGGTATGTAATATGGTGTGCACATGTATATAATGGGATACAATGCGGATGTATGAAACATCACTTAATATGACTTAATATCACCAACAATATTTGATATTGTTTTAATTGACCATCCAAGAATATTGTATAGTAAAACAATGGGGACAAATCATGGCTTCCCAAGAAGAAAATGATCTACATATTGTGAGATTTCATGAGATTTCCATATGTGAACTCGAGGTTATGCTCTATATCAGCGTCGGCCTTGGCCACGGCAACCATACTGAACCACTTCCATATCGGCCCGGTTTTTCGGTGCTGAGATCAAGGCTTCATCAGGCAAACGAGTCATGCTGTTGTTCCTCTTCATGCTTCCCGATTTGGACCTTGGCAGGAGCAAATCCGATTCTGTTTCGATAAAAAAACTCACTAATGTGGGTAAAACGATGATAAACCATCCCCCAAATCATACAAATCACCATTCCCAAATGGGTGGTTTATTGTTTCACCATGGTTTTACCCACATTATTTGAGGATCGTGGATGAAATCACCATCTCCGTCCTTCCATGGCCCCCAGCGGCGATTCCGATGCCGGCGTGCCGGGCCGCGAGTTCGGAGTGGAAGGCCTTGGTCCAACGATTCAGGATGGGTTAGGCCGGTTCGACTTAAATATAATGTCTATAACCCATCATATGGATTCATATGGGAGTAGTAAACTTGTAGTAAACCATGGTTAAACATTAGTAAACATTAGTAAACTTATAGTAGTTACCATCATTGTTTTTTTATAAACAACTGGCTTAGTAAACTTATAAATAATCTCAAAACAAAAAAATATTGACATATATGACATATTGATATATTGACTATGAGTCAAAATCCGGGTACCCTAGGTACCAAATATTGTAATAATAAGTTTTGACCCATCCCCATATGTGAAATACATTGATATACCCCCAGAAACCCTTATTGGGGCCTGCATGGATGGTGGATGTTATATTTGGAAGATGGGATTACTAAGCTTATTTTAGACTGATAGACTAATATGTAGACATATATCTAGCCTCCACTGCCTCAACCCACCAACAGCAGGCAATGAAGATTTATCTTTTTATATGTGTACAAAAACATATGCTGCACTAACACTACCCAATTTCTAGGGAAAAACACGGGGATAGTTTACTGTTGGATTTACCACCATTTTTATCAATGGATTGGTTTGAGGAATATGAAGCGGGAAACCCATGTTTTGACCATCTAACATAGAGTTCTGCACAGTTTCCTGAAACCACAGCTGGGATCCATAAGACATGACTGAAGTCACCCCATAGACAAATAAATGCACGGAAAGAGTGCACCAAACTAAAACAGTTTAATTTGATCTTAATTTGATCATACATGAAACTTGAGGGTATCAGGATCTCGATCTTTCAGCGGTACCAGCCGTTCAAGCTCACAGCACAGCATTGTTTTGATGAGACATGATGAGACCATGTGGACCCCTTCATGCCGAAAAAGTTAAAGTTTGATACCAAAATCATCCCCCCAAAAAAGAGCATGTTTTTTTTAAGCCAGACAGTGTACAAACAGAATCCTTCACGACTGGAAACAATCGAGGGTCCTTCAACTGCTATACTAGCTGCTATACCATCCCCCTAACCTGAACCCTGAGAACAGACATGAACAAACCATGCAGGTACCCTCTGGTAAACTAACATAGCTATTGAAAATGGCCATTTATAGTGGATTTACCCATTAAAAATGGTGATTTTCCATAGCTATGTTAGTTTACCAGAGGGTAAATCACCTTACAACATCTTCCAACGCCCAAATCTGGAAATGTTGGAGGCCACAGGGATGTTTCCCCACCGCTCCCAGTCATTTTCTCAGCGAAGTGAGAATCTGCTGCAGGTCCTTGGGGCGAATACGAAACTTTTTTTGGAGATGGATCATGGACAAACATGGATGACAATTTGGATGATATGGGATTATAGTGGGATTATAGTGGGATTATATTGGGATTATATATTGGGATTAGATTGGGATTATGTGGATGATGATGGGGATTATGGGTTGCTGGTATCACCAAAAGGCGGTCCAATACTGCAACATGGCCTCATGACTTTGAATTCTTGCATGGGCCAGCCGTCGTTTCCAGGCTATCCTCCGGTAATCAAACATGGCAATGGACAATCCCACATGGTTTTCCCATTAAAATCTCCACGGTGCTAGGGGTTTTGCCGTTGCCACCATTTGGCTACTGAAGGGACTGAAGGGTAATTACCCTTTGGTAATTTAACATAGCTATGGAAAATCACCATTTTTAATGGGAAAATCCACTATATATGGTCATTTTCAATAGCTATGTTAAATTACCAGGGGGCAATTTAAATTCAACTCATCAAAACGGATCAGCCAAACATGAGCCACGGATCGCCCCGGCCCCAGCGAGCCTCAGGTAGTGGGTATTCCACCACGAAGGGCTTCCCCAGCAGATCCGTCAAGCTGACGGATCGACAATGGAGGAACACTCGTCCCGCTGCAAACCTTGGAATCAGACCATGTGGTGATGTCGTAAAAATCCCATAATAGAAACGCCATGTTTATGACATAAGAAACCAAAACATTCCGTTTCTGAAATATTTTCTTATGTCATATTACCCTGTTCCCTCCCGAGAGCCCGTTCATTTCGTTCGAATCATTCCTTTGTGGTCTCATTCATGAGCTTGTCAATTCCAACCCATCATCAAGTCCACATCAAATTGAAATTTGCATTTTTGTAGTCACCTCTATCCGAGGCGGAAGGATGATGAAGGATGCAGATAGGTATCCCTCAAAAAAATCAATAGTCATTAAAAATAATTATGTACTGTATATATATACACTTAAATGATCTTAGATGTACTTAGATATACTTAGCCTAGATAAGCTTACATACAATATACATATGTACGCAAAAACATCCCGGCAGAATTTTCACCGTCCGCATATTTATTACTAAATTATCGTTTCGCCATAGCGAAACGTCAATTTTGACTGGAAAAAAGGGGTCTCCGAACTTGAGGGTTTAACTTTTCCATCGACAACCCTCTCAGCGTTTTTTCTTCTTCAAGAGGCCTGAAGTCGAATCAAGACAGTTGCTTGATGAATGTCGCAGTTGTCTTCAACAACTCGCGTGGGTTTTCCCACCGCCATTGGAACGATCTCACATATATCGAAATATTTTCCGATTCACTTTCATGGAACCTTTTGTTGTAGGGATACTGTTGGGGACCGAGGCCTTACACAATTATGAAATACAATGCATCGATTTCGGCTTCCATGCTATGCACTTGAGCAAGCAAAGAGAAGGTCCAAATACTCATATGCCCGAAGGAAGAAACAAACATACATGAAGAAAATGTACCCAGATATGCACAGCGACTTATGTGAAAAAGTTTATTTCAACAGCTTTAAATGTCTATCTAGATCTATATCTATATGATACTATATTATGTAAATATATACATATAAATATATATATATATATACAACCACCCCAGCGTAGCATCACGTATGTGTGGAAGTTGCAGAAGAATGTGCAGTGGCGTAGCATCACGTATGTGTGTAAGTGGCAATGAACGTTATTGCCCCACCCCACCCCACCCCACCCCAGCGTAGCATCGTCACGTATGTGTGGAAGTTGCCGAAGAACGGGCAGTGGCGTAGCATCACGTATGTGTGGAAGTTGCAGAAGAACGGGCAGTGGCGTAGCATCACGTATGTGTGTAAGTGCCAATGAACGTTAACATCCCACCCCACCCCACCCCAGCGTAGCGCCACGTATGTGTGGAAGTTGCACAAGAACGTGCAGTGGCGTAGCATCACGTATGTGTGGAAGTTGCAGATGAACGTGCGGTGGCGTAGCATCACGTATGTGTGTAAGTGCCAATGAACGTTAACATCCCACCCCACCCCACCCCAGCGTAGCATCACGTATGTGTGGAAGTTGCAGAAGAACGTGCAGTGGCGTAGCATCACGTATGTGTGGAAGTTTCAGAAGAACGTGCAGTGGCGTAGCATCACGTATGTGTGTAAGTGGCAATGAACGTTATTGCCCCACCCCACCCCGTCAAAATCTATGCGTTTTGCTGGACGGTAAAAAGTCCGTCAGCAAAAACATGTATGTCATATCTCAGTGTGCGCTGTAAGGATATACAGCGTAAAATGTATCTCATATTATATATATCTGGGCAAATTATAATATTTCACAAACCTGGTAACCTGAATTAAGGCCATTTGGGGATGATTTCCCTTATCAAACATGATTCCAGGGTTCGGTCGCCACGTGAGGTCGTTATAATTTACCCAGATCTATGGGATCCTTTCCTCAACGCCAAAAAGGACAAGTCACCTCGTTCGAGCCCCATAGGCTCGATCTCCCACGATGGGTTGGCTCAGGCTGGCCATGTGAGCGCCTTGGAAGCGGGAAAGGTTGAGGAGCTGCTGAAAACTCTTAATTAGTAACCATAGTCAGTATGATTACCAAATTTAAAAGATTTTATAAGGGGATAACATGGCATTACGGCATTACCCACTTGGGGGACTTACTATCTACTGATCAGAGCTGACCAGGGTTGTTACCCACTTCCTAAGTGTGGGATGAACCCTCGATGAGCCAATGATGTATGTATATGTATGTATATATATATATATATCTTATCTCAATGTCAGCATGAAGAACGTTGGATGAATTCTCATTGGCTATAAAAATAAGACATCGCTCCAACAAACACACACCTTCCTCTTGTGATGGGCGATGTTCAAGGTCTATGTTAGTTGGGGATTGTAAATATTAATATCCCACTAAATTCCGTTATAATCATTGATTCGTAACATGAATATCCCATTAAATCCCGTTATGTTTGCCTAAGTATGTTTAATATATATATATATATTATAATATATATATATATAGTATTATATCATATGTATATACAGTATGTAGCATTCCCAGCACCTACAGTAGCTCTTATTCACCGAAGCCAGCAGGACCCCATTTGGTGCGTCATTCCATGCCACGAATTTGGTGCATCCGCCCAGTCAGCGGCCAAACAGCTGCCAGCATCAACGCCTGAGACAGCCAGGGAGCTGGGTGAAGTGACAGCTAGGATCATGCGGGCATCACCATGGGATTTTATATCAATTATATATATATATGTGTGTGTGTCTGTATGTCTGTATGTATGTATGTTTGTATGTATGTTTGTCTGTCTGTATGTCTGTCTGTCTGTATGTAAGTATGTGTATGTATGTGTATGTATGTGTATGTGTATGTATGTGTATGTGTATGTATGTGTATGTATGTGTATGTATGTGTATGTATGTGTATGTATATGTTGTTTTATGTGTATGTATGTATGTATGTGTATGTATGTGTATATGTGTATGTGTATGTATTTGTGTCTGTATGTGTCTGTATGTGTATGTATGTGTATGTATGTGTATGTATGTGTATGTATGTGTATGTATGTATATGCTGACGCCCCGTTTATCGTCCAGCGAAATGCAACGTTTTTGTTCATGTCTTGTTACCGTTCATGTGACCTTGCACATGAAGTTGCTGGGGTGGGGTGGGGTGGGGCATGTTAAGGTTCGTTGGAACTTGTACATGACGTTGGCATGGGGTGGGGTGGGGTGGGGTGGGGCATGTTAACGTTCGTTGGAACTTGTACATGACGTTGATGCTGCGCGATGATCCTTCGTTGGAACTTGTACATGACGTTGATGCTTCGCGATGATCCTTCGTTGGAATTTGTACATGACGTTGATGCAGAAATTGTAACTACCCAGACCACAGCGCAGCAAAAAAGGCCAAGCTGAATGACATGAAACCAAACCATGCTTTTTTGCTGCAGAAATTCTGCTTTCGCTTAGGCGAAACGATCATTTTTATAAAAACACCCGGACGGTAAAAGGGACGCCGGGATGTATGTGTATATATGTATGTATGTATATGTATGTATATGTATGTATATGTACGTATATGTACGTATATGTATGTATATGTATGTATATGTATGTATATGTATGTATATGTATGTATATGTATGTATATGTATGTATATGTATGTATATGTATGTATATGTATGTATATGTATGTATATATATGTATATGTATATGCATATGTATGTATATTTCTGTATATGTATGTATATGTATCTATGTATCTATATGTATATGTATGTATGTATATGTATGTGTATGTATATATGTATGTATGTATGTATGTCTGTACGTATGTATGTATGTAAATGTATGTATATGTATGTATATGTTGTATGTATGTATGTATGCATGCATGCATGCATGCATGCAATGCATGCATGCATGTATATGTGTATATGTATATATGTATGTATGTATGTATGCATGTATGCATGTATATGTGTATGTTGTAAATGGCAGCCACTTCAGTGATGGTTGATGAAGACAAAGAATCAATTGAATGAATACCAGTTGGATGTACCCACTGTTGTAAATCACCCTGAAAGCAAGTCTCCACAAACACGCACTCCTGTTGTTTTGCTCAATGCCAGCACGGATGCACGAAGTCCCAAGCTAAGAACACTGAAGGTGTTCAAGGTTCCAGCACCTTTCTCAAAGGCAGTTGAAAGTCGGACACCCTGGTCCTGTTGCAAAAGTGGACCCTGCCACCAGTATCCAAATGGCTTCAAGTAGCAGGAACCCTTCCCACCCTCACCTAGCTCGCCTGAGCCCAAACACTCCTGGTGATTCACGCAAGATGGAATTGGGCACTGCTCATGTACCTGGGCTTGGAATGTACAAATCACATTCCCAAAATTTCTTTTTTTTTGAAGTTAAAGGTGAAAATTTTCCATTGGCGTTTCTGTTTCAAGTGAAGGAGTTGTGAGAGTGGATATGTTCACTGTGTCCATCAGTGTTGGGATCTTCTGATGATTGTTGCTTCAACCATTTGATGCGATCACGAGTCTTTGCACGTTCTTTCAATGTTGATTGTTCGTCACATAGTCGATATGATCCATGTTTCAACGTCTCCCTTAGAAATCTGGCTTCCATAGCTTTGGTTAAAGCATCGGCTAATTGGGCACCTGTGTGAACCCACCTCAAGTTGACACCTTCTCTTAAGGTCTCCACGAGCTGAACCCTGAACTCGGAACACTGCGGAGGCGCAGTACGTGTTATGAGATCATGAAGGCTCTTGCAGTCGGTCACTGCGATGTCGGTCGCTGATGGCATGGTGACAACAGAGATGGCTGGCTCAACTTTCATTAATGCTTCTTCAGGGCGATGCCATTGAGTTAAGGGGTTATGGAGCCATTTCCAGTACAGGCGCAACCAACTGAGCTGGTCCAGGGCTGATGCCATGGAAATTGTCTCTGCGGAGAGGGTGCTGGTGACCACCTTTTGGATCGGCATAAGAATAGGGTTTTGCACTGGACGCAAATGAGGCATCGGAAAACACCATGAACCGAAGATCTTCGTGGGGTATGGACTTGATTGTGATGGTCGTGTCATGATATCGTTTTGCTTCATGAAGAAGGCGATTGGCTTCATTGATAGTTTCGATTTTTGCACTGTTAATTTGGGATTGAAGATTGGATAATCGATTGGAAAGATCTGGTCTGGTATTCGTAGAAGCATATTGCAATGACCCCACTAACCCTCTTAGAAGTCCCCTCTCATTTTCGTTGACTGGTAGTTCAGGCTGTGATTTGCGGTTAACTTCGATGGGAATGGAATTAATTTTGCGAATGTAATTGGATTGACTGAGTGTGATGTTATAACTGGGATCTTGGTTGGTCGCCGTCAGGTACCACTGAGTCTTCACGAAGCACAAACACGCAAGGATCAAAAGGACATGACTCCATGCCTAGCCTGGTCAGTTCTTGAACCAATGCACAATACCACAAATATGGTGCATCTATAAGACCATAGGCTCCTTTGTGAAGTCTTGCAATTTCTGATGGCTTCATGTTCATTGCGGTGCGCAATTCATTGACTGGATCAATGAGGATTAGTCTGTCTTTTTGGGGTTGGCCTTGGAGAAATGCTGCCTTAATGTCAAAAGACTGCAACTGCCATCCATGTGATGCTATTGTCTGGAGGATTACCATGCGGGATGATCTACCTAAAGTAGGGCTGTCACGGGGAATCTCCTCCAAGTGGGGGTCTAAATAACCTAGCACAACTATCCGGGCCTTAGCCTTGTATTGTTTGGTGCTTTGGCTATCTACTCCACCATCGGCTACATCAAGAGGCTTCCATGTCAGGATCCATCTGCATCTCAAAACCTGATCAGCTGGGATCTGATCTCGCAACAGTACAGACAGTGTCTCTGTCTTGATCCAGTTGTTTACCTCTGCCTGTTTGGCTGCTGCGAATTCCTCTCGCTCGCTGGATGTGAGCTCGGACAGACGGACTTCTGTCCTTTGTTTCTTCGCACTGGTAGCTAGTAGTATCCATGTCTTTTCAGGGGATGGTGGTTGGTCTATGACATCTTCAGGGACTGTCAATTCGAACTCACATCGCCAGGCAAGATGATCCACTGTCGTGCTGACTAAGGCGCATTCTTCATCTGCACATGTGATGAACCCCTCGGCTTGATCTGTCGGAATATCTATGGAGGCTGCATCTGGACTTTGGGTTTCCTGTCGGCTCTGAGTGTCAGGTTCTTGATCAGGTTGAGGAATGGATTCACTGGCACTGCTATCTCGTCTGTCATGCTCTGGTACTTCCGTTGGTCTGGTTTCTGGTGATAATGGAAGTGGTTGATTGGGGTTCACAGGTTCTAGTGTATCATGTTCTGGAATTGACTGCATGGCATCCGGGTGTTGGTAAATTCTGTTGATTTGTTGCTGGATCTGAGTTAGATCTTCCGGCAAATCAGGGCCGCCTGGTTCACCTTCTTCCGGAAGGGATAGGCGCACATTCTCTGGAGCACTGCGGTAGAGCTTTCCTGCTTGTGTTGTCCATATCGTATGGGTCTCATCCTGTATGATAACTCTATGGGGACCAATCCAACTTTGCTTTTGGGGACCAGTTGTTCTCCATATCATTACCCATTGTCCCTTTTGATATTGACCCCTTGATGGACAGGACCTTCGCAGCATTGCCCTTCGCAAGGAATCACTGTTGTCAGCAGTATGGAATGACCGACGGGCTACTTCACGGGCTTTCAGCTGGTTTCTGAACTCTTCGGCTGTCCACTCTTGATTTTCTTGAGTCGCGACAGTGTGGGCTGGTAGTGATTCATCACTGAGCACCGAACCTGGAAGTCTGCTTTGTTTGCCGAAAACCATCACTTCTGGACTGTACCCATGTCGGATCATCATACTATTTTTGGCTTGACAGCATTGATTCAACATCATTTGGAATTGTTGGTAGTTATTGATGGGGACCTCCATATCTACTTTGGTCATCATATGTTGTAGGAAGCTGCCATGACGTTCGATGGTTCCATTTTGCCAATGTGCTTCGGGTGCTATGGTGGTGCATCTTATGGAGAATCGCTGAAGAAATTGTTGGAATTCTTCACTGTTAAGTTCACTTCCTGAATCTACTTTCATCTCCTGTGGAGCGCCGGCCCAGTTCAGCCAGTGTTGATTCAACAAAGCGATTACATCCTTGGTCGTGTGTGATGGTGCAGCAAAAGCGACATGGAAATGTGTTCCCGCATCAACCACATGGTATGCATGAAAACTCTGACCCTGTTTGTTTGTCCATTTGATCCCATCAAGATATATTCGGTGGTTGAAATCAAGAAGGGGTTTCAAACGACCAGGTCTCGGATGCTTGGGTGCAGAGCTAGCGGCACATATTGAACACTTGAGCTCAAAAGCGGCCTTCACCATTTCCGGTCTCTGACCATTGGCTTGCAAAGCACGGGCCAATCGCTCATTCGATGGGTGGCCGAGATTCTTATGGATGGTCAACAGCTGATTTTGTTCCCATCGTGGGAGTGCTTGGAAATAGCTACTCTGTTCATTTCTGCAAATCTCACTTTGATGTGCATGGATCTTCTTTTCAGAGACCGGACTCGTGGTGTCCTGCGATGGAAGGTCTTCGCCCTCCGCTGGCATTGGAGGTGTCGGCTGCATGCTCATTGGTTCGTACGGAGGATTCTCTGGCATCAAAACTTCAGGGTTTTCAGTTCTAGTGTCGGCGGTCGGCATTGGAGACAGGCTGGATTGACTTGGAGTCACGGTGGCTTCAAACTCTTTGGCAAACACAGTTATGTTTATGCGGCACGGATGTGCTGGTCTGATCAGTTGTCGGTTGGAAAGATCAGCCCACTTTTCCCATTCTCTTTCATACCTGATATCTCCAGAGGGTCGGAGTATCATGATAGTTTTGCGATAGGGGGCCATGGTATGATGAAGGTTCTCTGGAGGTGGTAATGTTCGGTCAGTCCCTCGGCAAGCTACTGCAGTAATCACTTGACGATCAGGAAAGATTGATTGGAGTTGTTGAATGATGGGTGTACTTTGGATCTCAAGCTTACCAACCCTGGGGAGTATCTTCTGGATATCTTGAAACATTGCTTGGCATTCCTTCATGTTTGGCACTGGACCCTGTTTACCATCTAGTCTACGGCGTTTGACTCCTGTCTCATCTGTCTCTTCCGGTGCTGACAGCTGGGAACGAGCAAAGTTGTTCCGGCCTTGAGACTTCTGGGGCTTCAGGACCGTTCGGCGATGTCCGGCTGCAAGGACAGGTGTCCCGTCACTGTGATCCTGTCGGTTCAGTCCACATCCCACCTTCCAGTTGAACGGCCATCGATGTGTATTATTGCACATGGTCTTGGCTACCAACCTGACAAACTTTCGGGGATATATCTCTGAAAATTTCGTCCTGAGGATGGAATGGCCATGGACATGCGTGGAACCCTCAAGCTGTTGGTGGGGATGATTTTTACGACAGGTCAACCCATGAAGTGCTCGGTATATTGGTTCATGTGTTGTGACAACCTGCATTCCCTTCTTCATGTGAAGTTTGCTCATGGGATCCCTTAAGTCTCCAGCTTCGCACATGTCGAATTGGCTAACTTGGGTATGTTGGTGGATTTCATTGATTCCCGGGTGAAGCAACATCAATGATTTTTGAGGCTGTTCCCAACTGAAATGAAGTCCCCTGGACACCTGATATCGGTAGAGAACAATTCCTAGGGCAATTTGATATCGCAACTCACTTCGTTTCTGTTGGTATTCCCATTGGGTTTCAGCTGATCTACTTGCGTTCAACGCTGACCAAGAGGACCATGGTCCGCAGACTGGGCTGTACCACAAATGGATTGGTCGGTGGCAGGCAATGGACTGAAACAGTTTCCGGCGACCATTGACGGTGGATAAATCACCCTGAGCCAGGCCGAATCGAAATGCCTGTTGTCCCATGTTCTGGATCTGCTGTGTCAAAGGAGATTCACTGCTGCAAAAGATCTCACCTAACAAGAAAGGTTTGCCCATGGGTCTGACCTCTTGCTGGACTTCTTGGAATTCTTGAGTTATCTTACGAATAAGATGATGCAGATCCTGAACATCTTGATGCATGGCCAGGCATGACTCTGCTACGGTCTCGCTCTCAGGTTCATTCAATCCTGCGGGATGTTCTTCTCCACCTGGTTCTCCAAGTGTTGGATCACACGGCCCAAGGCATTCTCCATGTTCAGAATCCGATCCTGGAGGGCAGTGAACTCCGGATCCTGATGAAGGGGCGTTGTCGCCGTAGTCCCCTGGTTGAACATCTCGAAGGCCAAGTCCTCGTCGTAGTCCAAGGGCTCTGCGGCTGTGGCTCCAGATGGAACCGGCATGGCCTTGGCCTTTGCTCGGGTGGATCTGCGTCCAGAAATCTCTTCGATCATGGCATATCCCCCGGCGAGGGAATCTGGAGGAGGCAGCAGTGGCACCTGTGTGTTGGTGCGTTCGTGCTTCTCGACCATCAGTTCCACAAATCGGATCAGGCGGCGGTGACTGAGAACTTTGCTGTTCCCGTACTTGGTCACCATGAAGCTGATCCAACCCTGGTCCTCCCATGCCTTCTCGAAGGTGTCCCCTTGATGTTTCTGTCCGAATGACACTACTTCCGTCTTCAGTTCCGTCAACGTCAAATGACTCAAGTCGGGGAGCGGCATCTCCACTTCGGTCTGCAGGGCCTTCAACCGGTTGATGAGAGACATGGCAAGCCTGTGTCGGTTGATCAGTCTCGTTGCTGGGCACTTGAACCGGATTCTCTTGGGCTTGAACGGATGTTTCTCGATCAGCTGCAAACGGTGACTCTGAAGACCTGTGAACCTGTGCCTCATGACTGGAATCTTGAATTGTTCTGATTTTCTCTGGGCCCATCATGATTGTGTCCCTCTGCCCGGTGCTTTCAGGTGTTTCTGCCGGAAGGGAAGTCTCAGTGCGAGCTGCAAGGAAAGTGGTTTCGACAGACTTCGTGTCGGAAACTTCGGGTACGTGCTGTGTCATGGCTGCTTCAACAACGTCATTGAGGTTGAGTAAAAACAGACCCCTTTCTGACAGTTCCAACGGAATTGCATGCCTCAGCACAGGACTGGTCAGGCGATGAGTCGAGCAATCGATTTTGGCCCTAATGGCCCGCATGAAGGTGTTGCTGATGAGGAAAGGCGTTCCCCCTTGGACGATTGCTATCTTGAGTTTTAAACTGCCTATGGGTACTACGATGGCTTGACTGCTGGTCAATGTACCTTGGTTGCCAAATTTGAAGGTCACTTGACATGGGCATCGTGTCAACCGGGCACGAACTTCCTCACTCAGGCTCTGAATTAGGCACTTCACATGTTCAGACCCTATGACGGTCTTGGACGCTCCAAGGTCGAGCACCCCACAGGCATCATGAGTGGCAAAACAAACTGGATTAATTGGTATCGTGTTTGGTTCTGTAGGACTGTTCAACTTCTTAGAGGATCCCCCATCTGAAATTACAGTACATGAACTGACCTTGGTAATCCCTGGCTTGACGGGCATGGCATCTACAGAACTGGTACATGCGGCATCTCTCAGTTGGACATCGTGTGGCATCGGCTGGCATCCCTCACTCCTAAGAAGATGGCTGCGCAAACGATCCCTGGCTGTGACCCTTCGTGACCCAAAACTCACAGCATAGTTGTTTCGTGATTCTCCCAGAATACGTCCCCTATAACTATACTTGACATGGCCATGACTGGAATCACATGCAAAACGCAAGGATAAATTCAGCTTGGGCTCATCTATGGACGTCTCAGGCAGGACAAGGAACTCAAGAGGCAGGCTATCACCACTGTCGGTGGTAATCACCGTTGAGGTCGGTGCTGCAGCATGGGCCTCCGTTGAGTTGGCACTTCCTTGGTTCCTAAGTGGACATTCAGCTTTCCAGTGTCCTCGGACGCCACAGAGGCGGCATGTAGAAGACATGATACGATCCTGCAGAGTCTTCCGGGGGCGATTGTCATGGAATTTGCCTTTCCCTGAAGGCTTTCCACCATATCCCTTGCCCTTTCCAGAAAATGGCTTGGCTGGAAAGAACCCACGGTTGCGAAACTTTTCTCCAAGGCGGTGTCTCGCCTGCTGATAAGCTGAGAATGCAGTGGCCAATTCACTGTCTTCCTGAACTGTCTCCTGAGCAGCGGCCTCAAAGTCGGCAATGAGCAAGGCATCGTGATCC